TTTTCAAATTATATATATATATATATATATATATATATATATATATATATAACAAAATGCATTAAGACTAGGCATAAAAGTTAGTGAAATTGTATCTTTAATAATTTTTAAAGAATTCAAATTTATTAATGATTCAATTGTTAAAATATGTGATATTGCTTATAAATATGTATATAAAATTTTACATAATTTAGACTTTTCTAAAAATGTTATCTAGTAACGAATATTTACCTATATTTTAAATATTATCATATTATAGGTTAAAATAAAATGTTGTGATGAACCAGTTAATACTCTTGGAATTGAATGAATTTTGGTACATTTGATCTGATTAGTAAGAACATTGAATATAATGTTGTGACACTTCTAAATTATTTTTTTTTATAAATCCTTAAAGTAAGTGTTATAATATACCTTAAAATAGTTACCAGAAACCAAAAATACTGACTTTAAAGTTTAGAGGGATAAAAAAAACTTAATTTATTGAGATCAAAACTAAAATTTTCTTATTTTACAAGGATCATAAATAATAATTACAAATTTTAAATGGATAAAGAACAAAGAAAAAAATTTATAGAGATCAAAACCAAAACTTTCTCATTCTACATAAAGTAAAAACATATTTAAGTTTATTTTAAATATATAAATTATATTTTAAATTTATAATAAATAATAATTCACATTGTGATATAAAAATATTGTAACTATCAATAATTTTTTAATATATATATATCAATTTAAAAATAAAATGAAAATATTAAATACAAGAGATAAAATGTTAGGAAGAAAATGTTAAAATCACTAAAAAAAATTACAAGTGAAACTTTACCCTTTTTTTAATTTATTAACAATTTCTCCATCTTATGATGAAAATAAAATCGAAAATTTTTAAACTTAAATATCTTTTTAAGAACTTAAAATATACTATAATTTTCTCAATTTGATCATCGACCAAGTATCAATGTTGATCAAGCATTCCAAATTTTTTTTTGTGTCGTTCAATATATAATTTTTAAATTTACAAACTAATAAATAAATGACACTTAATTTTTGTATGCACATTTATCTATATCAACTTTCAAGTAATGAGTTTAGTGATCAAATATTCTTTTTACTGACAATATAGATATTATTGTTGATTAATACTAATAATAATAATAATAATAATAATAATAATAAATAAATAAATAAATAAATAACTTTTATATCTATAAATATGTTGTTGTGATGTCTATATGTTTTTAACTCTTTAATCCTTTAACTAATATTTACAATTATCCACTATTGTAAAGTTATATGCACATTCTCATTTTATCATCTCTTTATTATTACTATTTTTACTTTTTAAAATAATAATGAGGCACATATAGTGTTGTATTTTCCCTATTATCATTGAATAATAATAATAATAATAATAATAATAATAATAATATATACAAATAGATTTGATATATAACAACATAATATTATTTATATATATATATTTTGACCAGTTATTTTAATAAATACATAGGAACGCACACACTTCAAGGTACTAGTTGTATCAAATATCAAAGCATCGTCGAATAGGACCATGTATCAGGCATGGGATACATAATCCTTTAGTCGCAGAGGATTTGGATCCATGGTTGCAAACATAAGGAGTTCATTGTCTTGTTGCAATAAGGCCATCTTGTCTTCGTTTAAATAAATCCAAGCTTCAATACCTTTTCTCGAAGGTGTATCCATTAGGATGACCAAATCATCAACTGAGTCAGCAAAACAAGACACCCAAATTGGCTTTCCCCATCCAAAATCAACATCGTAGAGTCCAAAATTACACCAACTCGTAAAACGAAGATAATTTACCCCAGTGCCCATTGCAACTCTTGAAGTTGTTTCCATTACCTGTTTTAAACTTTCACAAAAATTAACAAACCCTCCTTCATCTTGGAATCTTTTAACAAAGTCATGGTCGATAGATGTCACTGTTTCCCGTAATTTAGTAACCAATTCAGGTAACTCATCATTTGCACTCATTAAAGCCATAGCCAACCAAACAAAGTTTCCCATACACGAGTTTGGAAAATTAGGAGATGCCCTTCGACGCATGTTTATTGAATGAATTACTAGAGTTGGCCTCTCTAAACCAGATTTGGCCTTGGAAGCTTTTGCAGCACATTTGCACAGAAGGGATGCTACCACCTCCACTCGAGTAGGGTTTTGCACGGTTGAACTTGACCCTTGACCCCTTAACCTTGAAATAGCTTCTTCATCAAACAAAAACCTCCTCGTAGTAAGCCTACCCTCTTTTAGAGTTTGACAACACAAATGCATCGCATTCTTGTCTTGTGGGCATGCATTATTCCGAGGGAAAGGGGTGTCAAAGTTAGGAAATTCAAATGCATGTTGAAACTCATTGATATGAGAGTTAGAACCCCAACTGTTTAAAAAGAAACTTGCACCTGCTCCATCTGCTACCATGTGAGATATTAAGGTACCTATCACTATACCACCGCATGCAAAACAAGTCACTTGTGCCATAGTTATGTACCCTTCAGCTGATACTCCTATGACTGCTTGCTTTGGAAGGAGTTTGTAGATTAATGATGATAAATTAGGTTGGTTGAAAAATTCAACAAGGCTACAACTTACCTTGGCCTCGGTGAAGTGAACCCCTTCGTCGTTGCAATCGATGGTAACCTTATCTTTAATCCTTCCAGCGAATGGGTAGAAGAGATTCAAGGTTTGTGATAAGGATTCTTTTAATTGTTTCATTCTTTTTTGTGTGATGATATCAACGATGGCTTGAGTATTCTGATCAATAGAGTAGAAAAGCAACATTGGAATATATGCAGGAGGCATGTACTGGTCTAAGATTGAAAGCTTATGGGATTTCGGGTGTGTTGTTGGGAAAGAGGGTTTGATGAACTGCGAGGAGATTATTTCAACTTCCATATTCTCTATTGATGCAAAGGTGATTGAGAAAGAAAGTAGTATGGTCTATTCTCTCACTCTATATATATATAAATAAGAAGTTAAGTTGTTAAACTATGTTTCTTTTCATTATTTTTAATATGTTATTTATTATTGCTCTTAATAAATTTTTTAATGTTATCATGAAATGATCAAACGTTTTCTTTTCTATGATAGATAACTTTTATAGTATATTTGGATAGAGAATTTAAATGGAGTGATTCATTTATTTGAAGAATTTCAAATTCTTTGAAGTGAATTACCTTGTTTGAGTAGAAAATTTATAATGAATTTAAAATTTAAGCATTTGTAAAATTCCTTCAAATAATAGAATTCAAATTCTCCCAAAAAAGTATGAATTTGAAATTCTTTATATATTATTTTCTTATTTCACTTATATATTTTATCTTATCTCTTATCTTTTCACATTTTTAATTATTGAATATTTAAAAATATTTTTAAAATTATTAAATATTATCTAATATTAATTTTTAAAATTATTAAATATTTAAAAATTAGCTAATATTTATTCTTATAAAATTTAATTTAAAATTCTCAACATATAAATATATTTTTAAAATCAATTTTACCATGGTGGAATCAAATCATCATATCGAATCCAACAATTTAAAATTTGAGAAATTTGAATTGACTTATTCAAATAAAATATTTTAAAAATAATAGAAATTGAAATCAAAGTAATTTAAATACCAAGAATTAAAAATTCCTTGAATTTGTAAAATTCTTCGTCCAAAAAACTAATCTTGTTCATGATAAACCCTTGAACATTTTAGAACTTAATAGAAGTTTTAAGAATCGAAAATTTTTAGTTTTTTAAAAAGGTTAGATACTTTCAAAGTGAAAATAGGTAGCAAAACTTATTAACATAAGTGATTTGATACTTATATTTTTTAACTAAAAATTGAGGTTTGAACCTCATGCATGAAATCACAATTAAAGATATCAGTTTACATATAAATGATAGAATTATTTTATGATATTTGTCGGATGAGATATACAATGATGAGATATTGCCCGCTTTGGGCATAAGCTCTCAAGGTTTTACTTTTGGTCATCACCCAAAAGATCTCTCAATCATTTGAGTATATTTGTATTTTATGAGTTATTATTTTTTCTCTTATTTTATTAATGTGGAACTTATTTGTATCTTAACAATCCTCCACTCAAACAAGGGACGTAATCGTTCATGCAGCGGGATCACATTATCGGTTATGAGTTATGAGGGGTTATGAGGGTTGTCACCCAATCCAACCTTGCAGCTCTTATACCATGTTGGGGTTATTTTATAATATTTGTCTTAAGAGATATTTTATAAGTGTTATTTTTTCTTTTATTTTATTGATATGAGACTTGTTTGTATCCCAATAATAAACTGGACTGATCTGATGAAAGAAATACGGCTTAATAATAAATAAATAAAAAGTGAAATAATTGTATAGAGCTTTTTCTAAGTGCTTGTAAAAAGAAAACCATTTGTAGGCTTAACTTTAACTTTTTTTAAAGCATGTGATTTTTATAATCTCCATAAAGATTCATTTCTATATATATATATAAGGATAAATCCATTTACTTTAGGAGTAAGTCTACTTAAACCTACCTCGTTCAATAACTCATGTTCTACATCAAATTTCAACGATTCAACCGTTGAATTTAAAGTTCTTAATGTATAGATCAAATTTACAAATTTTTAAAAAATTTGACAATTATTTGATACTTCCTTTCATTAATTCAAACCAATGTGTAAAATGATTTTATGATTATCCATCAATTTGAATTAATGAAATGAAGTACCAAATGATTTTCAAATTTATTAAAAATTTACAGATTTGATCTATGCATTAAGAATTTTAAATTCAACGGTTGAATCGTTAAAATTTGATGTAGAACATGAGTTATTGAATGGAGTAAGTCTAAGTAGACTTACTCTTAGAGTAAACGGATCCCTCCTCATATATGTGTGTGTGTGTGTGAGGAGGGCTCAAACGACACCGATGTAACTTTTACTAAATATTACACCGCTCAATAATTTTATATTAAATGTCAATAACATATCACTTTATATGTTTATATCAAATTTTGTTAAAATTGAACAATAACTTGAAGGTAATATAAAAGTGTTCATATTTTATTATATTTTAAAATATATATTACGTCAGTTTTGTTTTATAAGAATAAAGTATCAAATCATCTAAGATTAATATAAAAATTTTGTATATATGATCTAAGAATAAAGAATTTTATTTCAATCTAACGGTTGGATTTACAAAATTCACATTTAATATAAAGTTATTGAGCAATAAAATACTTAGTAAAAGTTTCGTTTAAACCTCATCTATCTCTCTCTCTCTCTATATATATATATATATTGAAACTAATAAAATATTTAATATAACATATTTAATATCCTTTAATTAATACCCTAAGCGTTTCTTTCAAAAGAAAAGTTATTTACCTTTGAAAAAAATACACATTTTACTACCAAAAATTTGCCTAACGTTTCATCATTTATATGTTATAACACTACTAGAAAAATGTCATTTTCTTGCAAATTTTTCTATAAAAAAATATTTACAGAAATTTTTTGTGAATTTTCTTGCAACAATAATTTCATAAAAAAATTTATGAATTTATTTGTGAAAAATAATTTACAGATATTTCTTACAAATTTTTTGATGAAAAATAATCTACAAGAAATTTTTTCAAATTTTGCTACAATTTTAATGATCATAGAAAAATTTATTCATGGTAAAAATTTGCAAAAAATATTGTAAGAATTTTATTTTGTTTCTTATTTATTTTCTTATAAAATTAAATTCCTAAGTAATGTTTACTAAATGGTAGAAAAATTTTGCAAGTAATTTTTACAGTAAATTTTCCTACCAATTTTAATCTACAAGAAAAATAAAAAAATGTTTAAATTTATAAGTTTAATAGTCAAAATATTTTTAATTAAAAAATGTTGTTTTACTAAATTATTTATAAACATATCATTATAATTAATTTTAATTTTAATTAAATTAATATATATATATATATATATATATAATTTTATAAATATGATAAATTAATGATAATGAGTTTTAATTTAATGATAATTT